TAACTATATACCATATTTTTCTATAATATTATAATATGTTACTTCCATAGGATGAAAACACTGTGAAAACAAGTGCTACAAATCCAGGACAACATGAAGATACTCAGCAACTTGACATCTAAATCTCCAGCCTTCTTGCTGACTGCCATTCCTGGCTTCCAGTCTGCCCAGGCCTGGATCTCTGTTCCGTTTTGTTGTCTTTATGCCGTTGCGCTCTCTGGGAACAGCATCATCCTCTTCGTCATCGTCACCCAGCACAGTCTCCATGAGCCCATGTACTATTTCCTCTCCATGCTGTCAGCCACGGATCTGGGCCTGACTCTTTCTACCATGTCTACAACTTTGGGTATCCTGTGGTTTGATGCAAGGGAAATCAGTCTAGATGCTTGCATCACCCAGATGTTTTTCCTTCATGGATTCACTTTCATGGAGTCTGGGGTGCTAGTGACTATGGCTTTTGACCGCTATGTGGCAATCTGTAATCCTCTCAGATATACTACCATTCTCACTAATTTCAGAATCATTCAAATGGGTCTCCTCATGATTTTACGTACTGTGGTTTTAATACTACCGCTGCTTTTGCTCCTTAAGCCTCTCTCTTTCTGCAGAATGACTGTCCTTTCCCACTCGTACTGTTATCATCCAGATGTGATTAAATTAGCATGTTCAGGCACTCGGGCAAATAGCATCTGTGGATTAGTTGACCTTGTCTTTACCACAGGGATAGATGCACCATGTATCATCCTGTCTTATATCTTGATTGTTCACTCTGTCCTCAGTATCGCCTCTCCAGATGAACGGTACAAGGTCTTCAGCACCTGTATCTCCCACACTGCAGCAGTTGCTGTATTCTACATCCCCATGATAAGCCTGTCTTTGGTTCACCGCTATGGTCAGTCAGTTCCCAAAGTGGTCCATTCAATGATGGCCAATGTATACCTGCTTTTGCCCCCTATGCTCAACCCCATCATCTATAGTGTAAAAACAAGACAGATCCGCAAGGCTGTACTTAGTCTGCTCCTTACAAAATAAACAGAGAATATATTTGAGAAAAACCTCATGTAGGTGATATTTTATATAAAAAAAGGAAACCCGATTAGGTTAATGTCACATTTTTCATCTGTTCCACAGTATTTCATAAATGTTTTTCTATGTTCAGTTATAAAGTAAAAGTATGATATGCAACCCAAGATTTTTATAGTCTGATGAAGGAAATAGGAAAAATATAACAATTAAATAATGAAAACAATATATGAAGTAATTTTCCTGTTTAATGCTAAGTGTTCTATTACCTACTTTCAAGGCATGTTTTACTTGTTCTTCAAAATATCACAAAGAAATATATAATATCAATAAGTACACTTTTGAAGGAACTGAAGTTTAAAGATATTTGGACCATCAAAGGACACACAACGAACATCAGGCAGACTTGAGATTTTAATCCAAGCTTCCTATATCTTGGTCCCCATGCTCTTCATATTTGTTACATACTCTACAAAAGGCATTAGAAGAAATATTGTCAGATCAAAATAAGACCTGGCTCTCCATTAATCTGTACAACATCTCAAAAAGTTTTGGTATCCTTTTTAAACTAAAGGATACTTTAATTAGTTCTTATTATGGATAATCGATAATATGACAGATAAAAATTTATGACATGTAAACTTAATTTGTTATCCAGTGCTGGACAATCAGAAGAAAAATTTTTGCTTATTTAATGCAGAAAAGAAGAACTATGAAATGCTAGATATTTTATGTAACTGAATGCAGGAAATTTTAGAATAGAAATTAGTACCTATTTTTTTGCACCCTTAGGAATTTTTGATCTCTTAGGCATTTACTGAGATCTATGTATCCTTACCCTAGAAGAAAACAAAGATAAACACATTCACATTATTTTTCATACAAGTTTAGAATCCAAAATTGCCGTGAAGGACTATGCAGCTCTCCTTCTAAACCAAATAAGGAAGATAAAGAATTGGTGGGTCTTAACTTATAAGCAGTGATACACAGCTAAGCCCCAAATGCTTAATACCCAAAAAGGGATTCAGGGTCAAAACTCTTAAAACATCTATTGCATAAAATGGTTCAAAAATTTAGTAGAAAACAAAGATAGAAATCTGGTTGTAGTCACATCAATTTCATTGCAAAAGCAAAGTAGAGAAAATGGTGATAAATATGAATGTTATTTCATGTATCTCACAAACATTAGGAAGCAGTGTGCTACAGCCAGCACACACCACGTTGAGCGCCACTTGTATACATCATTTTCCAAGTTTGTCTTAAGTGGTGATCTCATAATGGTAACTTTGAAACCACCATAAAGAATATTTACACTACAGGAACTGGTAAGCATCACAAATGAGAGCTTTTTATCTTCTAGAAGATTTGGTTTATTATGACAACTGGGATTTAGGAATACTTTGTGTATGGTTTTTCAGGGAGTAATAGAAATTAATAGTTCAATAAATATATTTTTTCCACTTGACAAGTTTGAAATCTAATGTGTGAAAAACAATATGGGATAAAAGTTATGAGGGAATGCACATAGAGGTGCAGTAATGAATAATATAAGAATAATATTTTATAATATTAATAATATTTTAACTTGATTGAAATGTCTCCAAGGTGCATCAAGAAGACCATTTTGTAAGTAACTGTGTGGAAGAATGTAAGAAATGTCATGTCACCATTTTACTATTCATGGGAGAACATTTTCCTAAATTCTTAATTAATAGATCATATCTAGATAAAACATTTAGAGAATGAAAGCCAAAATGTTTTTATTTTGTTATCTCTGTCTACTTCCTCCAGGTGAAGTTAGACAAACTTTACATTATGTACTTAATGAGCATGTTTTTATTGAATAGGAATATAGCAGAATTTATTTATAGATTTGATTTTAACATTTGGCTTTTTTTGAGACAGTCTTTCTGTGTAGTCCAGGCTGGCCTTGAACTCACTGTGTAGCCAAAACGGGCCTTGAACTCACTGCAAACCCCCTGCCTCAGCCTTGCAAATGCTGGGATTACAGGTACGCGGTACCACTCCTGGCTTATATCTTTTGAAATGTATAAGGGGAAATCTTTTGATCTAGTAATTATACATACATTTGAGTTCTTAGAACTGCAGAATTATTAAAAAATAACAAGTCTAATGTATAAGAAATTTTACTTTGCAATGTTTACTGGACTATGGGCATTGAAGGTATGCTTCAAGGTAAACATAATAAAGACTAGATATCTGAGTGTGACTTCTGCATCTTAGAATTGAGGAGGATGATGGGAAAGGAATGATGTTCTTGTATATATTTGGTAGCTTTCATAAGTTATAGGGTGGAAGCAAAAACTTGGATAATTTCATTTAGTTTAATTTGCATTTCATGATGTGTAAAATGTCTAGGATACACATGTAAATGTTACTGAGTATAATTTATAAAGAATAGATAAATACTTAAGTTAGTAGTGTTGTCTTCAGGTAAATTTACTAAACAAAAATTGTGATAAGTTTAGTAGATCAAAGGGTATCATTCAAATCATAAAAAGGAATATTAAAAATAAATAAATGGGAAAATCATCATCATAAGAGAGACTCAGGAGCTGGGTGGCTTATCCAGAAAAGT